GAACCTAGGAACCTAGCAGTCGGCTGGGTTCAAGAACCTAGCAGCCAATGGGTTCTTCCTAGCTGGGTTTGAGAACCCAACGACTGCTGGGTTCACAAACCTAGCAGATCGAGTTCTTCTTAGCAGCCGATGGGTTTTTCCCACCTAGGTTCAAGAACCCAAGGGCTGTTGGGTTCATGAACCCAACAATCGCTGGGTTCTTCCTAGCTGATCTGCTAGGTTCGATTGAACCAAGCAAATTTGCTCGATTTTGATTAATTTAGGTTTTTCATCTTCTTAATGTTTGATTTTTTGTCTTTGTGTTACGTGCTTTAGTTGGAATTTTTTAGAAATTTGGGAGAAGATACCTTGATTTTTCTAGGTTTTTTGGAAGGTTAAGAGGAATAGTGACTATTTTGGAGAGATTCTGGGTTTATGTTTGTGTTATACTTGGATTTGATGTTAGAAGGTGTCTAGGTTTGCAGAAAGTGAAAGGAAAAGAAAGGAAGAGGAAGAAGAAAGGAAAAAAGGAAAAAAGGAAAAACAAAGAGAGCCAAAAATGGGGGTTCGATTCTGAACCCAGCAGGTGCTGGGTTTTTGTGGGTTTGAAAAGTGGTGATGAAAGTGGATTAAGAGGAATGATATTGATGAATTGATTGTTTGATTTAGAAAAATGTGATAAAAATGGACTTTGAGGAGGCAAAGAGAGAGAAAAAGAAGAATGGATGAAGAAGATTTGAGAAAGAGGATGTCGGATGAAGAAGATGAGGGTAAAATTGTAATTTTAGATAAATTAGATAATTATATTTGACACATCATTTATTTATATTATTATTTTTTCTACGTCATCATGTTTTTGTCATATTGTGTTCCACGTGTATTAACATTTGACATGCCATCAAGTAGTCATGAATTAATAAGCCACGTCATTGAGATTTTTAATGGAAGGACAAAATCGGAGTAAAAATGGTAAATAAAAAAGACTAAATTAAGAATTTTTTAAGTTAAGGGACTAAATTGGGTGTCCATGCAATAATTGAGGGACCAAAAGAGGGGTTTAACCTTTTTCTTTGGGTTTTGGGATTGAGAAATTGTATATGTTTCTTTTCTATATTTTGTTTTCTAAGGCAGTATTGTATCATTTTTCTTTTGATTTTAGGATTAAGAAATTGTATGTATTTCTTTTCTATGTTTTGTTTTTTTATTTCTTTATTTAATAAAACCATGGAAAAATTAGTTAGGAGAAATTGAATGCACTAGAAGAAAATTTGAAAAATTTAAAACAATACGTTAGGATAAATCTATTAATAGTTGAAGAAATGAGAGGTTTTAAATTTCAGACTTTATTTGTGAATATTTTGTTGCATGTAGGTTCTCTAAAGATTTTTTTCCTTCATTTTTTATGATTTTTTAATATTATCCTCACTTTATGATGCAAACTTTTAAAAAATATATTTTTTAAATAAATTTTTAGTTGTTTTCTTTTTCATTTGTTACTATTTGTTAGATATTATTATTTTTCAATTTTGCTAATTAAATGTGATTATAGTCTGTTTTTAAAAAGTAAATAATAATTTTTTTACAATACAAAAAAACAGATAAACATGTAAATATTTTGCTATGAAAGATCCGTACAAGGCACGGGATTGTCTAGTTAACATTACACCTAACCTTATTTAACCCGTACGATGTTATTACAAACTGAAAGCTTTATCATTTATTTTTCAGGCAGAAGGGCCCTGTGCTTCTCTATCTTCCTCTCTAGCTCGTCTTTATTGGCTCCCACCAGTCGGTCCACCTCCTCTCCTTTCTTCACCAGCACAAACGTCGGCATCGCCTCCACCTTAAATTGCTGCGACACATCCTAAACTCAATAAAACCCCAAAAATTAAAATTCTGTATCAATCGAGTCCAACCAAGAAGAAAACTCAGAAATTAAAGACTTACAGGTAAATCGTCAACATCGATCTTTACGAACTCAACTTCAGTAAACTTATTAGCCATGGCATGCACCGCTGGCTCCATGAACTTGCAAGGTCCACACCATGAGGCAGCAAAATCAATCACCATCTGCACTCAATTTCATCCAGAATTTTCAAAAACAAGACTAGTATTTTAAGGGATTTTTCTGACCCAGATGATCAAAAGAACCCAGATTTCTAAGAAAAACAAAAGGTTGTGTGTGTGTGTGTGTGTGTGTGAATAGATTGTACCAGTTTTGGATTTTCTTTAGCGGAGTTGAAGTGGAGCTGCCATTTGGCGGATGAGGGAAACGTCAGGATGCGAGCAGACTCCGATGACGACGCAGGTGCAGCCCCTCCCCATCCGAACAATCTCGAAAGGAAAGAGCCCATTTTTTTCTTCCCCTTTTCCTCTCTCCAAAGATAAGAAGGAACACAAATTGAGACAATGTTTCGTTGAAGCTTCCATTTATCTTATGGTGGATGGAAAGATGAGAAAGATTCCGAAGCACAGAGCCACAGACAGCAAAACACTGTTGCAGATTCGATTTAATTTTTCAAAGATAATTTAACAAACTACTCCTAGTGTTGATTCCATTCCATGTTTTTAGTGCGGTCCGAACTTAGCACAGTTGTAATACTAATTTTGATTCTGTTCGTGTTGTCGTCGAAGAAACGTGAAGTACATTGGAGCTGTTATTTCTACATCGGTAACTTGAAAATGTTAGAACTTAAAACTGTGTCCCTTGACTTAGATATTTCGGTAACTTGAAACCATTAAAGATAAGAAAGTCCCTCTACTTTGTTTCAAGTTTCGTCCTTATTCTATCAGAGGAAAAACAAGAAGATTAAAAGCAAAATCTTCAATTATGATGAACAAAAGTAATGAAATCTTACGACTTGTGGCTAATACTCGTTCAATTCAAATTTTAAATTACATGTGTAATGATAGTACAATTATACTTAAGGTGTTTATTTTGGCTTTTAAAAAATAATTTATTTTAATTAAATAAATTAAATATTATTAAATTATAAATAACATGTTATTAATAATTTATCTTATTTATTAACTATAATTTGTATCTAAACAAATTAATCCAAACATCTGTTAGCTAGATTGATCAGGTGTTCACGTCCCACTAACCCTACCCGTCCCCTTAAGCAAAAAAAATTAAAATAATTGTCACTAAAAAGGCTGACTAGTTTTATTCACTCACATAATTGTTAATCAGACAATACTTCTAGTCTTTGGCGGCGTAGTTCTTCCTAATTTTCACTTTTTGTAGTTCAATTCAGACAAAATGCTTTCCTTTTTCTGCTGCAGTGTTCTTCAATTCAATGGCACTTTCACACCTTCACCTTTGTATCTGTACCACTGAGCACAGACCAAGAAATAACCAAAGTTCAGGAATCCTAAAGCAGCAATCATGTAATAGAAATAATCAAGTTTCCCTCTGTTAAGATCCTCCGGTAACCAATCCCCCGTTTGAGTTCTTGAAGTAAAATGGTGGACAGTGGAAATCAGAAGTCCACTCAGGTAACTAGAACCAGCAGCCCCACAGAAGAAGAAAGAACCAGCGACGCTCCTCATGTTTTCTGGGAACTGTTTGTAGTAAAATTCGATCTGGCCAATGCTGTTGAAACCCTCACAGAGTCCGGTGAGAACTAGCTGAGGGATTAGCCATAGACCGGACATGGATGATATAGCGCCTCCCTTTGGTGAAATTCCGACGGTTGGCTTTGTGAGAGCCAGGTTCCTTCTTTTCTCCTCGATCAACCCGGAAACAAGCATGGTGAGAATCGATAGAACGATCCCAATTCCCATTCTTTGAAGCAGGGTCATCCCACCTTGTTTCCCGGTGAGCCTCCGGAGAGAAGGGACGACGAGCCGATCGTATATGGGGATCCAGAGTGTGAGACTCAGCATGATGAATACGGTATAGGAGGCGGCTGGTATCTTGACGCCGCTGCTGCCGAGCCTTCGATCGGACTGGAGGGCTTGGAGGACTGCATAAGTCTGTTGTTGGACCATTGCTACATGGTAGATGATTGCTGAGCCCCAGATGGGGATCACCCTAACCACGCATTTTACTTCTTCTACCTGTTGCATGCTGCAAAGTCTCCATGGATCTGCTGCTGATCCATCAAGATTGATTTGGTCTTCAGTTGTTATGATTGCTGACTTGTCAAGAAACCTGATAAACAAACAATTCGTTAGTTTTGCTGCTGGTTTCACAGGAGTAAAATATCAAACAGTGAATACTCACTTGAAGTTGTCGGTGTACGGAAGCTTGGAGTTGATAGAATTGGTGGGCATATAGTTGAAAAGGCAGAGACTTGGTTGCTCTGGCAGATTCAGGTGTCGCTTCCTTCTGGCAGCCATCAGTACTCGAGCCACCCTTGTTAAAGGGCTACCCTCAGGCTTCACTTTGACATACATTTTTGACCCCAGAAAGAAAACTATGCATGAAAAAAACATCAAGCTTGTGGGGATCGCAAGCCCAATTGCCCAACTTACGCTGGATTGGATATAGACTATGAGGGTAACAGAAACCATCACGGCGAATGTAAAGGTGAAGTAGTACCAATTGAAGAAGCTGTTTATGCCCTTCTGACCGGATTCAGTGTTGGGATCAAATTGATCAGCCCCAAAGGCTAGGTTGCAGGGCCGGATGCCTCCAGCTCCAAGGACCAGGAACCCAAATCCACTGAATAGGAAGGCCAGCTGCCAGGTTGTGGGTTCAGTACATTTTCCAATCTCTGAACATGTTGGAGGGTGTAGTTTGGAGATTGCAGCAGTGAGAGTCAAAACAGCCATTCCCTCGAAAGGTATAAAAAAAGGAGTAAAGATACAATCTTTGTGATTAAAAGATTGAATTATATGCATAAGTGTTGAGGGCAAATTAAGTAATGGAAGAATGCATATACCAAGAGAGAGGATATAGAAGCAAAGGCCAGCGTCTTGTAACGACCAAAGTAGGAGTCAGAGAGGAAGGCACCGAGCAAAGGAGCCATGTTAGAGGTTCCATTGAAGACATTGATAAGAGTTGCAGCAGTGATGTTCTTCATGTTGAACACAGTGCTAAGATACACCATTAGATTTGACAGAGTGCCAATGGTGCCTATCTTCTCAAAGGTCTCATTTCCTGCATGGCCAACCATGTTATGCCCAATATCATAATTATCATTACATGTTTCCTGATATCTAGGATCTAGCATTATATCTCTATGCTTTCTGTTCTTGATCTTACCAATTATGAAGGGCATGGCTTTAACTCCTCTGTAGTTGATTGCTGCAGGCTTATCATCAGTTGATGCTGGTTCTCCAACATTATTCTTCTCCATCGGTTACCCAGAGGAAAAGACTGAGATTTTGACTAACTTCTCCTATGCGAGTTCTCCTTCTGTTTGAGTAATAATGTTGGAACTTGTCCAAATTTAAAGGAAACATCGCCTGTTGAAGCAACAACCTAATTGGTGAAACTCTCTTTCACTATAATTATTGCTTTTTGTTTTTTTTTTTGGTGCAATAATTATTTTTTTGGCAGTGACAAAAACATCACAGCGTGAGTGTGTGTGTGTGTGTGTGTTTTTTTTTTTTTTTTTTTTTTTTTTTTTTTTTTTTGTGAAAATAGGCATGAAAACATCACAGTGTGTTGGTTCAGTTCCTGTATGGAAAATAAGGAAGACTTGGTTCATCGTTGCCCATTGCTTAGCTCATGATGTGATTACATTATGTCTTATATGATGATTGCTCCTGAAAGGAATCTTTTTTAGTCGGGGTGAGAAAGATGGATTAGCTACTTTCCTTGTTCGATGAATGATAAAGGTAATTTTGTGTCACAAAAATGGGGTGAGAAAAGCATGAGTAACAACTCTTTTTGCCAAAACGACAAGGAAAAATCACTCATCCTCTTTATGCATAAATGATAAATCCAAGAATAGTTTTGATAAAAAAATTAAGCTAAGCTTTTGCTCAGTGTAATTACTTGAAATAAATGAATTGACACATAAAAAAATAGGCTTCCTTCCAAAAGGATTTTTTTTTTTAGTTTTTTTTTTTTTTTTTTTTTTAATCAAGTTGTTAGTAATTGGGTCCTTATGGAACTGGGTTAAGATCATTAATATTGGCTGCATCCGGTCGAGTGAGAAAAATATTACCTCTTGAACTTCATCTTCTTTTCCTTTGTACTGTGTTATCCCTACTTTGGGGGATAGAGTATCCCCATGACGTCTTTTAATTTGATTATTAAGGATTACGATGTAACAAAGCATAGGCATAGCACCATAGAAGGAAAGTGTGGTTCAAAAATTTTTGATGCGTTTTTCATTTAATACAATGTACATTTGGACAGTGTTAAGATGTGAAATATCTTAGAATATTCTTTTTATATATTTTATATTTTAGAATATTCTCTTTGTAAACACCTACAGGTTATTGTACATACAATATTATTCAAGAAAGTAATAAATCTTTCTTCAAATTACTATTCTTCTTTTCAGTTTTTAATATGGTATTAGAGTGATAAGCTCCTGATTTTTTTTTTCTTATGATCGTTGTTTGGTTTTTGGAGTTGGATTTTCAATTCCATTTCAGATCTGAAACTTTGTCGTTGAGATCTCTTCTTCTATAGATTGGATTGTTTACTCGTGATTGGTTGGCCCTTTTTGAGGTATTTTGTTGACTTGTTATTTCGATCTTGGCATCTATTTCTTTATATTTTTTAGAGTTTTTCAGTATTGTGAGTTTTACTGATTTTGTGGCGAGTTTTGAAAGGACTGTAACTCATCCTGCTACTACTATGGTTGCCAAAGAAGTGATAAACCAACCTAATGTCAACCTTGAATCCCTAAAACAGGTGATATTAAATCTTTTTAATACTCCTACTACGTTATCTACTGCTCTAGGAACCAAACCTTGGTATTTTGATTTTGGTTGTTGTAACCATATGTCTTCAATTACTACTCATTTCTCTTCAATGTCACCAAATAATTCATTTCCTGATATTTATTCTGCTGATTGTTCCCTTATGAATGTTAGTCACATTGGCAATATTTCTACAAAGTCATTGATTCTTAGTTCCAAAACTTAGTTATAATCTTGTATCTATCGGTTAGTTATGTGATCTTGGTCTTGAAGTAACATTTTCTACTCATGGTTGTCCTGTGCAGGACCCATGGACAGGACAACTTCTTGGAATTGGTTGCAAGGTGGGGCATTTATTTGAGTTCAACTATCTGTAGATTCTTGATAATAAAATGGATACACCATCATTTCCAAATGATCGATTCATCCAAACCTTGCTTTGTGCTATTGAATTAAAGTCTTTACAAATTCCATACTAACAAATTTTGCAAGCCTGTGTTGCTACTAACATTTCTCTTCTCCATTTGTGGCACTTACGACTCAGACATACCTTAGTCGGTAAACTTCATCCACTTATCTCTCGTGGTTTATTAGGATAAGTTCTGAATGAATCTTTGCATTGTGTATCATGTCAATCTGCAAAACAACCAGCTTTATCTTTTTCGAGTAGTCATTCTCATTCTACTGCTCCTTTTGATCTCGTGTATTCTAATGTTTGGAGTTCATCTGCGACACCCACTATGGGGGGTTCTAGGTACTTTGTGTTATTTATTGATGATCATACTCGTTTTACTTGGATATATCTTATGAAAAATCGCTTTGAGTTACCACAAATTTATATTGATTTTGCTATCATGGTTAAAACTCAGTTCTCTAAAATTATCAAAGTTTTTAGAACTAATATCTTAGTACTAAACTTCAATCTTTTCTCAAAGAATAGGGTACACTAACACAACAATCTTGTCTTTACACTTCTGAACAAAATGGGCGAGTCGAACGCAAACACAGACATATCCTTGATTCTGTTCATGCTCTACTCATTTCATCTTCTTGTCCAAAGTAATTTTGGGGTGAAGCTACTCTTACAGTTGTTTATCTCATTAATTGGATTCCATCCTCAGTGATCAACAATAAGTCTCCATATGAATGTTACATGGTATTCCTCCTACTTATGATCTTCTTAAGGTTTTTGGTCGTGCTTGTTTTGTTCTTCTTCCACCTCATGAACATAACAAGCTAGAGCCTAAAGCTCAATTGTGTTGTTTTTTGGGTTATGGGATTACACATAAAGGATATCGTTGTTGGGATCTTGTGTCACAAAAATTTCGATTTCACGTCATGTTGTCTTTTGGGAACACATTATGTTTTCTTTGTTATCAAACTTCCAAGTATCATCTTTTGATCAACCTTCATTTTTTACTAATCTTTCTGTTGAGCTATTTCGTATTGATTCTGATGCAGGTACATCTGATGAGCTCTATAATGCCTCACCACATGCTCCAACTGATTCTATAGAAGATGATCTGCCTTCTAGTAATGCATTAGATAATTTTGAGCCATC